GACATTAGAGCTGGAGGACAGATTAATGCATCTAAGGAGGGAGAAAGACTGAAATTCATTCCTGAGGTGCTCAGGTCCAAAAACCAAAATCTCAGTCTTGTCTGTTCAACAGGAGAAAATTAAGGGTCATCCAGGTTTTTATGTCTTTAAGACATGCTTGTAGTCTAAGTAGCTGATTGGATTGATTGGGTTTAATGGACAAATATAACTGAGTATCATCAGCATAACAATGGAAATTTATCCCATGCTGTTTAATAATTTTACCTAACGGAAGCATATACAAGATAAAGAGTAGTGGTCCAAGCACTGAACCTTGAGGAACTCCATGACTAACTTTGGTGTATGAATAAGATTAATTATTTACATTGACAAATTGGAATCTATCAGATAAATATGATTTAAACCAATTTAGTGCCGTTCCTGTAATTCCAACATCATATTCAAGTCTCTGTAGTAAAATATTGTGATCAACTGTATCAAATGCAGCACTGAGGTCTAACAGGACCAGTGGAGACACAAGTCCATTGTCAGAGGCCATGAGAATATCATTAGTGACTTTCACCGGTGCAGATTCAGTGCATGTGGTGAGCTCTGAACCCTGACTGAAACTCTTCAGATTATTCCTGTTCAGATGTTCACGCAACTGACCTGCAACTATTTCTCTAGAATTTTTGAGATGAAAGTTAAATTATTTTGTGATTTCCTTCACAGAACATTAGGAAAGTCCTCCCAGGATTAGTAACGGGTCGTCTCTAATTGGTTTGACATTTCAGACACACGAGCAATCGGACGCATCTCCTGTCGTAAAGGGAGTTAATGTAAATGTTGCAGAGAGCCAAACACACGGGTCCAGGTCCATTAGGGTGAAATGAACAGAGGAATAAATGGCTCGTATGTTCACGCTCTTCTCGCTGGTGATTCATGCTGAAAGAAATGGGGTTCGATTGAATCTGCGTGCCCTCGGTCTGCTCACATTAGCTCCACTCTCGTTACGATCGCTCTTAAAGCACACAGGATGAAGCTAATTTTAAGGTTGCTGTCGTTCTGCAGGAGAGAGCACTCAGTCCACCTGCACGGCAAACAGAAGTACCGTCAGAAACGTGCACGGAAACTAATTAAAACATAAAAACGCTGCAGGTTTTTCCCAGAGTCTTGAATAGAAATACCAGGTTTTGGAAGAAGACAGTGAAATTGGACTTTCAGGAGTATTTCATGCAATTATTTGAGTGATTTTTGGGATTTTAATAAACGTTAATGACTATAAATACATCCAAACGTCAACAGAAATGAACTGTTTTTAATTTTCTTATTTGTTAAAAAAAAGAAAAACTGTGTGCTTCTTAAACTGTTTGTTGTTGACCCTCCTTCTAATTTATGGATAATTTTTAAAATGTATCTCATTCAAAGCTTGTTAGTGTGAAAACGTTATGAACTGTAAGCATCCAACCTGTTGCAGATAGCTTTGTAAACAGCCTCAGTTAGAGCAGGTTGTCCAAACTGTGGCCTAGGGGCCATTTGTGGCCCTCTGAGTTAGTTTTGTGTGGCCCAAGACTCCTGATAATTTTGGCCCCTGACTTTAGGAAGTTTATTTAGCTAAGACACCTTTAGCTAATTTAATTGGCAATACTGTTATGTCTTACATTTTAACATAAAATTTAAGATTAAATAATATTAAAATGTACAATAATGACTACATAATTTGCATAAACCCAACAAATCAATGGAGCTGAATACTTTTTGTTAATGAGGTTAATGATTGTGAAGGTTTTTAGTTTTAGAATTATTTTAAACTGATTTCCCACCAAAATTATTGTACTTTTGCCTTTCCACATATATTGTGTTATTTTTTTAAGTGATTTTTCTAAGCTAAAAATGTTTTGGTCCCGCAGGAACTTTTATCGTGACAGTTTTGGCCCCGTGTCAAAGTTTGAATGATTCTGGTTTAAATAGTTTCACTCTGACCAGACTGACGAGCTAACGGCTAGTCAGACTGGTGCCAAAACCAAAGTGTCTTAAAACTACAGTGTCAAAAGTTTCAAACCTAATCTGTTAGCTCATCATTTTTGTTTAGGCTAAGGTCGGCTAGCTGTGGCGGCCATATTGAAACGGGCTGAGTTTAAAAGTTGATGAGATTTTGTGTTTTTACCAAAGTTTTCGTAGATTTTCCTCCGTTTCCTTTACCAGTTTATGTGCAGGACTGATGTTGATTTGAGCTATCTTAATAAACTTGCACTAAAATATACTTCAAGTTCGTCCATTGAATCATGAAATATTTTGCTAACAGATAGTTGGCTCTAATATCCATCCATTGTCTTTACCTGCTTGTTAACGCCAAAATGTTGACTGCTCAGATCATGTGTTGTAATTTGGTCTCGGCGCCTCAACAACAAATTTTAGCTACAAAAGTTGTAACAGTTTCTCATTGTCTAAGAGCATTTTGCAGTGGCAGCCATCTTGAATTGGGTTGACTCCAAATGTTGTGCACGTGCAAAACATTTCAAGACTTTCGTTAGTCTGTTGTATTGTTC